AAATTCTCGACCTCTTCTCTTATTCCTGATGATCATGGAAGCAGTTCCTCATATGCTCAGACCAATCTGATACAAGAACAGTCTAAGATTGCCTCGCCCTTCTCCCTTCCTGACTCAGATTGTATCTGTAAAAACCTCTAGGCACTTATGCATGGGCAATGTGGACTTACAGGATCCAGTCAATGCCCTACAGGGCAATCCTTCACTGATTGAGAATAGGAAACGAAGACTAGATGCTTCCCTCTTTCTTCCTCCAAGTGGGAAGTTCTGAAATGTATTTTACAAGGCGTCTCAGAAGGTCCTATAGCAATGATAGAGCATCCAGTTTCCTATAGGAGTGGCCAACTCTGTTATGCATTCTTGTATTCGTTTTCCCTCTCTTTCTGTCTCACTATTCCTTCCTCCTACTGCTGCTCCCTAGAATCATGTTAACATAAATATTATCTTCACATTAGCTTTTGTCTCACACTCTGCTTTCTGAGGAAACCAGGCTAAGACAAGCAGAGAATGATATATATATACTTAACACTTTCAACCTCAGAATAAATGAGACTCAAGTGAGGACATTTTTATCGATTATCTAATATATATATATATATATATATATATATATATATATATACATACACATACACACACACATATATATACATATATATACACACACATATGTATATATATTATATATATTTTGTACAGACAATAATTAGATAGTAATATATAATATAATACTATGATAATATATATTAGAGTTATATAACTTATAATGTATTGTATGTATATTAGGATGATAATCCTGGAGAACATATTAGAGGGTGTTAATATAGGAGGCAAAGCAACCAGGTAGAAATTTTTATAGGGAGGAGATAAATAGGGTATAGTTTGAGGTTTGGGAGGTTGGAGAGGATTTTTAAGGAAGTGATAGAAGGGAAGGCTAAGCAGGCAGAAGGTACAATGCAAGGAATTATCAAGTCTCTTCTGAGACTAATTACAGACAAACACTGGCTATTCATTTTACAGGGACAGTTGAAAGTTAAGTTCCTGTAATGAGGAAAGTGATTATTTATTACATGTAAGATATGGCTATGAGAATGATTTAGGGTTAATCAAGATAGTGTGGGAATAACCACATCTTTAACAACTTTAGAGTCTTTCTAAAGTAATCCTATCCAAATATTTATTTAGTTTTATATTCCATAAACATTGTATCTAAAATTAAAACATGGCTATGAAAACTCTATTTTGTCCTTTTAGGCAATACGTATTCTAAAGTCCTCCAATTGGCATGATAGAAATAATTACATGCTCCAGCACATCCTGCTTGTTATGACTAAAGTATAAGTGAATTAACAAGCCTTTTTAGAATTACCTCTTGTCCAAGATTCTTAATTATGCATTATATAGCTCAATGTGCTATAATATTTTTATACTAGTATAATTTAGAATCATCTAACATAGGCCAAAGGAAATACCAGAATCAATTTTACTCGTGAATAAAGAACAGTCTGATTCTTAGAATTCTCTATTTAACTAGATGGGCATGCAATAAAAAAATCTTTCTATTTTTTTCAGTGCTATTATCTTAACAAATGTCACCATCAAATTTGATTTATTACTTTACCTAGTATTGAAAGGGCAGGAAGGCTAAGACGATCTCTGTCTGAAATATGGCCAGGGAAGCTGTCTTCTTACAAACAGCCTTGGATTTTTCTTTTAGTCCAGGAGCCCTTCTCCGGGCCTGACCAAAGGAGACCTGCTCTACCCTGTGCTTTAGCTCTTTGAACCGTATGATAATGGATTCTCACCACGCCAAGTTCATGCATCTGAAATAAATTTAATGGGTGAGCTAGTTTACTACTCAGCAGCCTCGTCTATCTTCTTTTCTCCCATCTCCTTTATATTGGAAGCTTCAACCTCATTAGTATTTCAGGAAAAAAAAAAAACTGGATCCTGTCCATCATTTTTGTTGTCCCTTTCCTTTTCCTGGCAGGCAGAGCCTGAAGTTTCAATAGAGGAAATGGGGAGGGATACCGCACATTCAGAGTTTATGAAAGACCTTATTTACCATTAAAGTGAAGGTTTCCAGATACTCCATCCCTGTTTTCTTATGCTCTTATGCCTTTGATGAGGAATTAAGAACTCCAGCCGGGGCTACAGAAGACACTGGGAGTTGTCTGGCGAAGGCACTGCCCGGTATCCTGAAGCTGTTCATTATTACGAATGATACTCAGGAGTGGAGGAACAGAAGAGTGAGCAGAAACTATTGATAATTCCTACGGGAGCACTTCTGAGAGAAATCTGAGTCTGCACACTTAAGTGAATATTTTTCTGCTAGCTTCCTTGCACATTCTTTCTTTCTTTCTTTTTCTTTGCAAAACACTCATTGCCCTTTAATTGAATTACTTATACTTGTGACATTCCACCCCACTCAATTGTAAGTCTTTAGAATGGTGGCTCGAAGATGTTAGTGTGTCTAAGAATAATCTGAAGACCTTGCCAAATTAGTTTAAGGCTCACATCATTGAGATTCTCATTCAATAAATTTGGAATGGTGCCCAGGAATGTTCATTTTAACAAGAGCTCAGGGGATTGTCATACAATGGTCTGTGACCCACCTTGAGAAATATTTGCCTAGAGAGCAAAGTCTCTGTGGTCTCATGCCCTAGCTCTATGCAATACACATAGAGGTTCTCAGCACATGTGTGAAACTGAGGCACTGGTGATTCAAGCCCAATGTATTGTTCTCAGAAGTGAGACTGAAGCTCTAATGGATTGTGCATAGATTCATTTCTTCTTCTTATAGAAGGAAATTGCATAAACAGTTCTCCAGTTGGGGACAATGAGTAAGAGAGAAATATTATTATTATTATTATTATTTTTGGGAGAACACTTGATGGAAAGCATGATTTATTTACTTACTTTTTACATGAGAGGAAGGTGCAGACCTAAGGAGGAGGAAATGCATTCATTCCTTGCTGCCTATAGGACTTTGTGAAAGGTGCAATCATGTTTGATTTTCCCAGTCATTACTGGATGCCCGTTTTCCATGTCTTCCCTTTGTCTCTTTTGTTTATTGTTGACTAGGTGCTGTGAGGTCTGCTCTTTCATGTGCCTTGTCCTTTGTTCTTCTGCCTAAGGGTGTGAAGCCATTTACTTATTTATCCTTTGCTCATGGCTACCTCTACATAGCTATGTGCAAAAGAGAGAGGAAAAGCACATCTTGTCCATCAGCTCCTCACACATCATTCAAAAGCTGGGTCCTTAATATAAGAAGAAAAGACAGTCCCTGTTTGTTTTATTACAGAGGGGTACAGTGATTCATCACAAACTGTGCTCTTAAAAAACATCATCTGCAAGCCTGATAAATGTTTTAAAGTCAACAATTGGAAAACATCTTTATTTTTTAGAGTTTTACTAATGCTTTTTTTTTTTTATCCTCACCCGAGGACATTTTTCCATTTTTTTGTACAGATAGAGTGGGAGGAAGAGAGAGAGGGAAACATCGATGTGAAGGGACACATCGAGTGGCTGCCACCCGCTCGACCAACCAGGGCCCCAGGGCCGGGGACAAACTGCAACCGAGGTATATGCCCTTAGCGGGAATCGAACCCGGGTCTCTCCGGACCGCAGGTAGACGCTCTAACCGCTGAGCCAAACCGGCCAGGGCTAATGCTTTCAACTATTGGAACAGATCAACATGTCACTTTCTTGCATTAAAACCGTTCACTCTTCAGTTTATTTAAATGTCATATGTGTGGACTATTTAAAGTTGTAAGTAGGAAAAAATGACTGAAAAATACATGTGAGTAGCATCAAGACAAAAGTATATATGGTTTGTTTTGCTTGCTTGTTAAATTAAGTGGAAATATTCAGTGCTCATTAGGTCCTGGATCTGTTTCCAAATGAGAAAAGGCAATAAACATAAACATTAAAATCAAGACATGCTCTGTGTTTCCATTTTCAAATCCTAAGAATCTAGCTACATTTTTTAGTGAGCATTTACTAACAACTTTGTCTCTTTAATTAGGGACACTGTCTTAAATTATAGCAGCTCTTAGAAATAAACATTCTTGCCTCTGGATGGATTTACATACTATCTAGATGTTGAAAAAAAGTTACTGACTTGCAAAGACTCTCCCTTCAAACAGCACAGTGCAGTGGTGATGCACATTGTATTGGAGTTTATTGCATAGGCCAGGGCTGTCACTTTCCCATAGTGTCTTTATTTATTATGTTAATTCACTCTCCCCGTGCGGCCAGGAGGGGGTCAGCCCTGTGAAACATTCTCCGTTGTTGTTGTTTTCGAAAACAAACCTGTTTTGTGCCTGAATAAAGCAAAAAAAAAAAAAAAATCAATGTGTTTTTTTTTTTTTTCTTCCCAAGACAGGGGTGTCAGTACCATGGTTGTTTTTGTTCCCATCCAGTTATGTAACCGTAGGGACTTGTTTCATTGCTTTCAGGATTTGTACAAAACACATTAAGCTAAACAATAGGCGGGAGTCGCAGGAGCAACCCTGGAGCCGTGTCTGGAGTCTATCCTCCTACTTTGGGAATCTCCCATTAGTTCCATCTCAAGTGTTGACTGTGAGTGTGCGCGTGTGCGCGTGTGCGCGTGTGTTTAGTTAGCTGGCACGCAACACACTTCCCCAGGGTTGTGTTTCCTTTTTCCTGAGATTTGGCGAAGGGTAAAGGGTCGGAGTCACATGGATACAAAGCATTTGATTAATGTCCAAGTCACCGCTGTGGCTGCCGAAGCCGCCTCCCCTCCAGCCGGGGCCGTGTGAGGCCGGAGCGGCGGGACCGGCGCGCAGGTCCCGGGCTGGAGCCCCATCTCCTGGGAGTTTCCTCTGCAGTACCTCGCGCCTCCCGCGTCCCAGTTCCTGCGGGCCACCCCTCCTGTCCCCCCGCCCCAGCCTCTCCCAGGCATGTAAAGTCGCCCGTCGCTCCTCGGACTTTGCGGAGGCAGCAACTTTCCTTTCCCGCCGCAGCAGGGCCGCCGCCGCGCGTCCCGCCGCCCACCATGAGCGACGAGAGCCGCGGGGACCTGGAGAAGCAGCTCCGCCTGCGAGTGTGCGTGCTCAGCGAGCTGCAGAAGACTGAGCGGGACTATGTGGGCACGCTGGAGTTCCTGGTGTCGGTGAGTGGCCCGGGGGGCGCAGGGGTGGCTGGGCGCGGGGACCGGGACGGGTCTCAGCAAAGCGGGCACCGAATCCCCGCGCGCGCCCTCGCTGTGTTCACCGACGCGTTGACCGCGCGGGGAAATTTTACTGCCCGGGGTCGCACGGAGTTTCCAGGGCCTCGGAGAGCAGCGGGTCTGAAAAGTTAGCTGGAATGGGAAAAGGCGCTCGTCCAGGGAATCCCGGCTGACCCATCTTTCCTGCCTCTCCTTTACCCCCCTTCCTGGCCTGCTTAATTGCATTGTGCAATTTTTTTCCTTCTCTTCCTCCCCTGGGGATTTTGTGTGAAGACTTTGGCTTGCTGATTAAAGTCAGTCTGCTACATTCAAGTACATTTAGTAATGAAAAGTACTTGATTCTTCTAGAGCCTGAGTCCATTATTCAGATTCCATGGCAGTGAAGTCCCTTTAAGTTAGAATAATCTTTGAAGCAGGGTACTGGTGGAGGACCGGCACAGAAAGAGCAGCGAGGTTATGATCTCTAGCAGCTGTTTGATATTAAAGCCACATGTGGTGGTCAGCCCGTCCTAGTCCTACAATCTCCTCCCCAACCCCCACCCCCGGTTTAAATCAGTTCCCGCTCAGGTCCTGGGTCCCCTGTTGCCACCGAGCCCAGGAGAGGCGCATAACAAAACTCATGTCAAGCAATTTAAAGATTTCCTAGAACTGGCAGGAACTTTGTTTCAAAGTTTCAGCTTGGCGTGCTGGAAGTAGGCTTTATAAACCATCCATTCATTGTAGGACCAGGAGGGACCAAATTGAGTGAAAGAAACTTCTGAGACATCACTCAAAAGTTGAATTTTTTCTACTCACAGTTGCAAAGACAAAGAATTTGAGGATTGGCCACTCCCCAGTCAGATGCCCTGGAGAGCATCACTCAGACTCAGGAGCCATGGCCTCTGCAGTCTCCCCCAAATCTAACCTTCCACCACTCTCTTGGGTAACCCCCTGGTCCAAAAGAAAATGTTTCATAGGCCAAACTTCCAGCTCAGTTTTCTGAAAGATATAAACTTTCTGCTTATGATTATAACAGGAAATTTACTTGTTAACTATGGCAAAAAGGAAAGAATAGTGTTTCAAGGGGTGTAAGATGCACAGGTTGGATTCTGGTTAATTTCTCAAGTTAAAATCAATCTACTGGAGCCCTCAGGGGCCACATTCTTTAGAAATGTATGGATATTGTGAATATACTAGTAATTGGTCATTAATAAATTCTACAGTTCCATGCAACAATGTAAAAAAAACGGGGGGTATTTTTAAGGAGACTTGAGTTTTAATAGCCTCAAGGTTGGTTTTCATGAAACTCTGGTGGTGACAAACTTCTTTGACTTATAAAAATCAGAGTTACTTCTTAAATTGCAATAGTTACTCCTTTGTGGAAGTTTATGAAAAAGATACTGTGCAGAGTCCTAATAGAGAAATAGTTAACCTAAGCTACCTTAAAAACCAAGTGTTGATCTTTATTTAAAAATATCATTTTTTCTCTAACCTTAACACCTGATTATTAAAACTGCAAACATATTGCTAGACAGAGCTAAGTAAGAAATTATGGGTGGTATAAAATAAATTGGATTTTCCCGTTTACAAGTAGATCATCTTATAATTTCATTCTTCTCATCTCATTCAGAAATTATGGACTTTTCCACTTTTTTTTTTATTTTGATCATTATTTGTGCACATATATGTTCACACATACGCACAAACACACTTACTGGACTGAAAGTCATCCTTAGCAAAAGTTTACCCTGACTTCTTTATAATCTTATAACAATTCGAAGCCTAAGATCTACTTATAACATACTATTAGCTTTCTTTTCTGGGTATTATTTGTTGTAAAGTTTAATTTCCATGTATTTTATCTGGTCACCTTCAGTCAATAGTCAATCTAGTTTTAATTTTAGCCTAAACTAATATATACCAAGAGCTTTGGAAATATTTAATCCCATTGGCCTGGTAATTCATTTTTGAGAAGTCCATCCTAATGGAATAATTAGAAGTGCAGACAAACAATACAAGTTATTTAAAAAAATAAGCTGTAGTATTAAATAAGTACTGTGGTAAAATTGTTGCAAAAATTTGCTAGTGCATTCTTAAGTCAAATTTAAATATTTGTTAGATTGGTCATTTAGATTTCTGTCATTGCTTCAAGCCTCTAAACTGGATGAAGGGTAATTCTTATTTATATTATAAAGAGATAGAAAACATATTTTTTAGTGTTAACAAGAACATGTTTTACTTGTGGGCTTATAAGTAAGCCAACAAAATGTTATTATTGCTATTGATTAAATAATCATATGGCCTTAGGCAATAACTTTTCTTATTAAGATTTTTACTTCAGACTCCTTTCTCTTTTCCAACCCTTTGCCTTTGAAGGAGAGAGCAACTTCCCCCCACCCCCAGATAGCCCATGAACATTGCCTTTTTTCTCTATCGTAGACTCAGTCTATATGTACCTTCTTTCTAGTTGCCACTAGGCACACATTTCTTAATTGTTCATAGGACTGTCCTTTAAGTTTGCTGCTGTCATTTGGAGTGGTTCTCTCTTCCCGTGGGCTTTCTCAGGGCTCCTCTTTTGCTTTTCCCTAACCCTTGGATACCTGCCGGATTCCTACTGGGCTTTCAAGGTTCAGTTCAGGTCCTTCAGAAAAACCTTTTATGAGCCACACTCTGCATTCTCCCAAGGTTAAAGTGTTCACTGCTTTGTATCTACTCTTCCCAGTGGGCTACCTTTTCCTTAGCACCAAAGAAAGTGTATGCATTTATTTGTTTACTTTTGTCTCATTCTATACTAGAATGTAAGTTTTTTGAGGGCAACATTTTATTCATCTGTGTTTCCCAGAATTTTGTACTGTGCTTGGGACATTGTAGCTACTCAGTACATGCTTAATGAATGAATGAGCAAATTGATTCATCTTTTAAACTAACACTCATTTTTAAGGACAGTTTCTTAGGTTTCTGATTTTGTTTGTCTTCCATTTGGTCTGTATAGATAGTGGAAATTACTTAAGGTCAGACAGATATGTATCCGTATAACAGAATATTTAAAAGTAAACATTAGTGCCTGCATATAAAACAGAAACATAATTTAAATCAGGCATTGAGGTATTTAAGACTTTGTAGCACACTATTATTTCAATTCATTGTATTCTAAATTTTCATTTGAGACCATGGGTAGATTACATTATCTGGATTAATTATTTTTAGGACAAAGATAAAATGGTGGGGAATGACCGAATTTGCCTGAATATATATTCATGTTTTGCTTGGGAAATGAAATTTTGTGCTTTATTAGAAACACCCTAAAACATTTCTTCTAAAGAAATCCTATCATGGACCCAGTATTTAATGTGCAAACTCTGGACAATAGTAGGTTGCAACTGGTTTCCTGTTTGCATCCCAGTCACAGAGCATGATGGTTTCACAGACCCATTTGAGTGGACAGGAAAAGGCCAGAGCCAACCTCATGGTCTCACTTCAGAGCAGTCATACAGGGCTTAATACTCAGAAGGACCTTGAGCTAGGTTTAATGCTCTGCCATTACTGTCTTGAACTTCTTGCTAATTAAAATTTTTTAAATTGATTTTAAAGAGAGAAAGGGGGAGGGGAGAGAGAGATAGAAATAGATGTCGATTTGTTATTCCACTTATTTATGCATTCATGGTTGATTCTTATATACGCCCTGACCAGAGATCGAGCCCTCAACCTTGGGGTATTGGGATGATGCTTTAGCTAACTGGGTTACCCAGCCAGGGTGAAATTCTTGCTAATTTTTTTCTTTGAACTTGTCTTTTGCAAGTGAAGTCCAGTAGGACAACAGTATGTGAGCAGAGTAGATACACAAAAGAAAGAAAAAAACACTTAATATTTCAATACCTTTAATGGTATTTATTTTCTGCTTTTTGAACAAAAAAACCTCCCATTTTTGTTTTGCACTAGGCCTGGAGGATTGTGTAGATGTGTTTCGCTATAGCAAGTGGCATTGAGGCAGGATGACCATATACATTTTTGTCTAAACTGGGACACTTTTGTGAGTGAAAGAGAGTGCTATTAATAATTACAGTGGGAAACAGATGTAAACAGGGATTGTCTCTGGATAATAAGGGTGCACGATTATTCCACACTGTAGACCAAAGACAAAATTGTGTATCTTGCCATAAACCAAAAATATTGAAATTTGTTATCTGTCCAGGCTTTGACCTTGGATACTCCAGAATCAGTTCTGTGTCTAATTTATTATGTAACTTTGGAGACATTTCTCAACTGTTCAAACCCCATTTTCCTCATCTGTAAAATGGAGAAATAGTTAATGTCTCAAGGTTGCTGTGAGGATGAGATCATGCGTGCACTAGGCTGAGCCCAGAGTCTGGCTCACAGGAGGGCCCATAAATGGTCACTGTTATTTCTTCTGATGCTGTAGCTGTCATACACAGCCACACGTGCTGGTCATCCTTAGTGCATGTTTTTGTCTTTATTATATTCTCCTCTACCTTTTTGCTATGTCTCCCAGTCTCTGCTTCCTCCCCTGTGTTTCCTTCTGTCAGTACACTCCTTCCCATGGTATTCTATAACTGCTCAGTTGACTAAAAATAGTGAGAACACTTAATACAACTGTAGTTAGCATCGTGCTTTACAATTTACCCTAAACAGTTGCATATTTCATTGTCTTATTTGGCCTAATATATGTGTGTCTCCTAGCTTCTTCAAATGGTGCTTCCTGGAGCTCCAGGGTTCTGTGGTTTGGATTCAGGAGCCTCGCAAAGGGTCAGGGGGAGTTGAATTGTGTGGATTCAGGCTCTCCACTCTGGCTTCTAGCATAGCCCCACCTTATTCTGATTTGTGTTTTTGCTAAAGCAGTGAGAAAAACTACTTAACTAGATGATAAACTCCAAGAGAACAGGGTTGGTGCATTTACTTCCTATGTATGCTTTTCTTGGCCTAAATACAGTGCTTTGTAAATAGCA